ATTCTTCATACTTATCAGCTGCTGTTATTCTGTAAAGAATTCTTCCTGGCTCCAATCAGCTTTTTTTAGTATCACTATGAACTCATAGATTCTTTTTTAAAAAATTCAATGTGTTCATTCTTGCTCCCATGTATTTTTTAGGCCCAAATACTTACACGTTTGTCCACTGAAAGCCCCCTGACTATAGATCCTGTTTCCTTTTGACAATTCCTGTCTTCTTTTGAGCACTTCTTGGCTTTCTGGTACAAGACAACTGGCTGAAATCTTAAAAAAAAATAAACATCCCAAGTGATGAAATGGTGGACTCACTTTCTATATTGCAGGGAACGAAAGAATCATGGCAAGCCATGCAGTGTGGTCCTAGATTGGAGGCTAAATTGAAAAGAAAACTCTAACTTTGGACTGTATTTTCAATTATATTACTTCATCAACATTAAATGTTTTGGGTGTGAAATAGCATTGAGATTATGTAATAGATTGTCTTTATCTTTAGGAGATATACACTGAAGTGTTTAGGGGTGAAACATTATGACATCTGCACCATACTTTCAAATAGTTTTGTCAGAAAAGGAAAAAATACACACACAATTGTGCACAAACACATATGCATGCACACACACAATTTTCTTTAATTTCGTGGAGATCAGTGACCCACACACGTGGTGTTAGCAGTTGATGAAACTATGTGAAGGGTATGTGATGTTCACTGTATACTCTGTACATTTCTGAATAGTTGACATTTTTTAAAGCTAAGAAGTTGGGGAAATAAGATGAAAACAATCAGAAGGGGCAGGTATTGCAGTCAGGACTTTGGGCAGCTGGGCTTAGTCTGCCCTGAGAAATCTCATCCTTTTACTGCAGTTACTGCTGTTGTTACCAGATGGAAAATCTTGACTGTGAGTTGTCCAGGTTCTTGGCACACTGAACAAACAAGTAAACAAAACACACAGACAGAGCAACAGAAAAACGAAGCAAGGAAAGAAACAACAAAAGCGCAAATGTATTGATGTGAAAGTACACTCCACAGAGTGGGAGTGGGCTCAAGCAAGTTGCTCAAAAGCCCTAATTACAATGTTCTTTAAGGGTTTTTATTAATCTGAAAGAATTAGGTAATACCCCTAGGTGCTCCTTTAGAGGCCTCTGATTGGTTACACCCTATGAAGGATTGGCCCATGACCAATCAGAGGCTGAAGTGGAACCTTCTGCCTCATTATTGCAGAAGTGAGGGTGTGGACTGTGAGTTTCCTAGTGTTGTCTAAAATTGGCTGCACCTGCTGTTCTTTTGTTTCTGTCTTAACCTTTGGTTACCCTGATTCCTTATTCTCCTGCCTCACTGTGACATAAGTAAGAATAAGCCAATGTTTTTGAACTTCTAAAGGATAAAATCTAGATACCTTTGAAGAAAAGTTGTCTCTTTTATACAAGAGAAAGAGATAATGCAGAAAACAGGGAGAGAGGAGGACAAACTGGAGTCAGATAGCTGCTGATAGAATGTCTGAGCCAGGCACTGTGCTAGGTACTTCCTGCTACATGACTGATCTATTTCCAACAGGGACCTTTAAGAGACAAGGAAGACAAGGTTCAGAGAAGTTACAAACCTACCCCAGTAAAAAACTGCTCATCTTGGCTGGCATGGTGGCTCATGCCTGTAATCCCAGCACTTTGGGAGGCCAAGACAGACAAATCACGAGGTCAGGAGTTTGAAACTAGCCTGGCCAACATAGTGAAACTCTGTCTCTACTAAAAATATAAAAATTAGCCAGGCATGGTGGCATGCACCTGTAGTCCCAGCTACTTGGGAGGCTGAGGCAGGAGAGTCACTTGAACCCAGGAGGCAGAGGTTGTGGTGAGCTCATATCACACCACTGCACTTCAGCCTGGGCAACAGAGTGAGACGCTGTCTCAAAAATAAAAAAATAAATAGAAACTGCTCATCTCAGATAATGACTTCTAGTAAAGAAATATGATTGGCCGGGTGCGGTGGCTCAAGCCTGTAATCCCAGCACTTTGGGAGGCCGAGGCGGGTGGATCACGAGGTCAAGATATCGAGATCATCCTGGTCAACATGGTGAAACCCCGTCTCTACTAAAGATACAAAAAAATTAGCTGGGCATGGTGGCGCGTGCCTGTAATCCCAGCTACTCAGGAGGCTGAGGCAGAAGAATTGCCTGAACCCAGGAGGCGGAGGTTGCGGTGAGCCGAGATCGCGCCATTGCACTCCAGCCTGGGTAACAAGAGCGAAACTCCATCTCAAAAAAAAAAAAAAAAAAAAGAAATATGATTAAGCCAATTCACAAAAGATCAGCCAAAAGCTACCTGAATTTAAAGATTTTAGAAGTCCTGGCCAGAGTTTATCTGTTTGTAAAAGGAAGATTTGTAGCAGGAAGGATTGTGTCCCTTGAGTTGAAACATGGATAGGAACAGCCTGGCCCTCTCAGCTAAGCTGAGCCTTGGCCCAATGGGTGGGCCTTGGAAAGCAGGTGCTGTCTCCTTTGCTTCTTACATGGTTTGTGGGACATGACCCTGGCAAGACACTTCCCCATCAGGGAGCTCCACCCCTTACTTCACAGAGTACTGGAGGCCCCTGAGGAACCTGGGGTAAGCCCTGAGTGGAGGGAGGACCTGGTCTGGGCACAGCCTCCCCACCCCTGGCCAGTGCTTTACTGGGTTCAGGGCTCCATGTATATAAACTCAGGGGCTTCCTCCACATTTGAAGATGCTCCTGAGGAAAAAGCCACAGGAAGCTTTTGTCCAGTGCTCTATTACAATGGAGTCAGCACTGGGTGTGGAAATTAGGGTGAGTGGGTGGGAATCCATTGCCCCTTCCCCAGCCCCAGCCATCCAGGACACCTGCTGCTGTGGAAGGGAAGGGTACCTTTGCAAACTTAAGCAGCACCAAAAAGGACTCCTTCTGATTGCTCTCCAGTGAGACATGAGTAAATTAGCTAATTAAGGCAGCTCCACTGAATACGTTCTACATGCAGGCAATTTGCTGTTTACTTCCCACATGGACAGAAAAACAAAAATAGGAACTAAATCAACATCTCAGAGAGAAAAAATACCTTTGATGAGTGAGTTATAATTAAAGATTTCTTGATTACTGAAAGTGTGTGAAATGGTGCTCACCCCAAGGTCAAAAAGTTAACAGCCCCGCCCAAACCAAAGTGTCCATCATTCATTCAGGAAAGTATCTGTGCAGCTCCTGCGATGGGCCAGGTGTGTGGCTGGGCCTGATGATGAAATGGTGGGGAGGGCAGAGCAGAGGAGGATATTAATCAAACAGTCAAGCAGATGAGATGGATCAGAGCCCCTCTGCCCACATTTCCTGGGGTCTGGCATCTTGAGATTCTGGTAACAACAGACCAGGAAGGAGGCAGATGCTGTTTGTGCAAAGACAGAGTCGGTAGATGGGACTTGCTGGCAGTTGAAACCTCACAAGGCGATGCCTCTGATGTGTTTTAGATGCTCTTTTCTGAGGCCAGGTTATCCTGGGGGATCCTATCCTCCCTCCACTCTCAATCTCATGGACAGCTCTGGACCAGGCAGGAATGACTGACTATCATGCCACATTGGGGCCAGAAGAGATAGGGTCTGGGGAGTTGAGGAGTGTCAGTGGAGGAGGGGAGAAAATGAGGGGGCGAATGGGGAAGAAGGTGGGGACAACTTCCTTCTGGTTGAGGGGATTGTTTGTGGTTCTCCCTGGCAGCTTGGGACCAAGATGCATTCCCATGCATGAGCTTGGGAGGCAAATAGCCAGAGAACTCCTATCCCACTCTGTTTCTGTGTGACAGGGAGGATACCGCCTGGGTCGGGATGTGCTGCTTCAATCTGACTGTTCACTGTTTCTTCTTTGTGTCTGTGCCTGGAGGGCAAAGGAGAGGACTATTTAATTGCAAACTGGCCCACTTCTTTCCTTCTCCAATAGGTGCATTCAGCCAGAGTCACACGTCTGAGATTCCTGGACTAGGCAGCCTTAATCATTTCAGCACCTAGGACAGCTCAGTGCTCAATGCACATCTGTAACTGCGGAATCTCTGTCTTAGAACAAAGGCCACTGTGCTGTTAGTGAACAGTGCTGATGCCCAGAAGTGGTTTCAAGATGATGGTTTTGAGGCTCACAATCTAAAGTGGTTGAAGAGAGAGAGCTGGGGTCTTGGACATGGGAGCCACTTGGAAGGCACCTCAAATAGGATAATGGTGGTTTCCATCCAAAAGTCCCGGCTGTGCATGAGGTATGATGTCAGTGGCGGGCTGATAAACCAGTGCTTTAGGGTCAAGAAAAGCCCTGATGTGCAGCAGTTGCCAATTTTCCTGGTGTAAATACTCCCAGCATGGCTAATTTCACATTACCAGAAGTTTAACAACCAATTAGCAAAGTTCCTGAACATTTCACAGTTGGTTTTCAGAGTTGGCTGCCTGTGCACCCCTGGGTGTGAGTGACGGATATGTTTCCTACTAGAGGTCTCACAGTGGATGTGAGTGGGTGTACCATGGGGCTGTGGGTGAGCCTGTATCTCCCTCTCCCGCCATTCAATGGGAAGCATTACTTGAATCACCCACAAAGTCCAGCAGTGAGGACCTGGCAGATGCAGACCAATGAACACAGAAGAAGTAGAACCAGCAGGGATGAGGATGAGGCAGAATCTCCCAAAGGGAATGGAGACCAGGCCAGGAAGAAGGGAGGCCCCTGGAGCTCTTGAAGCCTCTGGTGCTCTTGAGAGTTTTAAAAAATGACTCCTTTGATCAGGCTGCAAAACTCAAACCCAAGGGGAAAGAGTTCGACTGTGGGTAAATTTTATCAAAAATCTTACACAAAAAATTAGTACTTGATTCATTTTTTGATTATTTACAAATTAGGATACATCTGCCACTATAACCCAAATGTTAGACAGGAAATAAAAACTTATTTTCATCACATTCAGTTTTAGTTTTCTAGATAAATCCCTAATTTGGCCATTTTTTTTTTTTTTTTTTAAGAAATGGCAAATATGTGGCTGAGGGCAGGGGCCCTGGTGCAGGTGACTTGATCCAATTCTGATGATGTTGATTTCTACAGGAGCAACCTTTCTGTGCCTTTGTGTCCTCATCTGCAAAGCAGGGATGGTGATGCAGTGGTGCCTAAGTTTCGGAGGGTAAATGATTTCATTACGTGGAGTACTGAGAACAGCATCTGGCCTAAAGTGAGTCCAAGGTAAATAATGTTTGTTAACTAAATCACAAAGCATTTGTTGTGAAACTTTGGTACTTAATTTAGTTGGATTTGCCTCAAATGGGCTTTTTAGTTGTATGGGTCATCCTCAGATAACAATGGCCTTGTTTCATTAAACATGGTCCTGGCTGGGAAGAAAGGGCACCACAGTGTGACCAGAGGGGCTTTGGGGGACCTGACCTGGGCCCTGGGCCTGGGTGAGGAGGTGATGGGGACACAGGAGAACCCCCCAAGGAAGTGACATTCATCTGAGACCTGACAGGTGATGAGGCTCCTGGAGGTAACTGGGTTAGGATCAGGGTGGGGGTGGCGGAATACTCCAGGAGGAGGGGCCAGCACATGCCAAGGCCCTGAGGTTCTGGGAAGCTTGGTCTGTCCAAGGCCAGCAGAGAGGTCAGTGTGGCCATGACTGAGTGGACATAGTGGTTAGTGGTGGGAAGTGGGATTGGAGAGGCAGGGACCTGTGGGGGGTTGGACGCCATCCTGAGGGCCAAGGGTAGCCTCTGTGGTGTGAAGGGGTCTGATCTTTCTTTTGGACGTGCCCATGGGAGGGCCTCCTTGGCTAGGGCTGATCCTTTCTTCCTCATTCCCACCGTGGCCCGTCTCATTGGTAGGAATCTGGGTGCGATGGCCGACCCCTGTTTTAGGGCCTTGGCCACATCTCAGGAGAAAATCTGAGAAGACTGATTTTCAGGAAATGCTTTGCCAGGAACTCTGCCATGGGAAGCGGGGGGTCTGAGAGCCAGGTCAGCGACACTGTTTTGTACTGGTGACAGAACCAGAGGCAGGGCAGCCAGGAGAAGCCCCAGGAGCCTCCTGAGACAGGGGGGCTGTGCTAGGATCCACCATGGGGTCATAATGAAAGTAACTGGCTTTGGGAGCATACAGTGGGAAGCGGCCCAGACTGGGAAGTGTAGATTTTATTGAAGCTGTAGGTTTTCATGAGGAACCTGGGGCTCACTGAGGCATCTCCCTGCACATAGCTGCCTGCCCATGGTAAGCATCTGGGGGCAGGGTCCTGGGGCTCCTGGCTGCTCTGTCTCTGATTCAGTCCCAAGAACAAGATGGTGTCCCTGACCTTGCTCTCAGACCCCCGCTTCCCACGGCAGAGTTCCCAGCCCGCCTGCAAAGTGCTAACCACGTTGTTGGAATTCCTCAGGGGTGAGCACAAGCCTCTCTGTTTCATCTGTGCCTATTGTGGACGCATTACCTATGTCATGAAGTAATACAAGTAGCATTTAGAGTAAAAAGATCAATTAAAAATAGGTGAAACCATGAAATTCAGTGACAAGGATGCTCATGAATAATTAAGAGACCACACAGGACGGCATTTCAAGGAGATTCTCACTCCTGAGCCTGTCGCTTTTCCCTGCACGGCACAGGCAAGCGCTGCCTTTCCAGCAGGAGGATTGTCTTAATTAAATCTTATTTGTCAAGAAGGCAAGATGTATTTGTGTTTCCTCGGGCTCCCATTGTTATAAACTTTTTGGTGTTTTCTCTGAAAAATGCTCCTTTTCGGCTCAAAAGAGCTGATCGTTGCTGTTTTTCTCTCTTCCATTGTGTGGAGGAAATGCTACGGGTTCTTTGTCAGGTAATCAATTATCCTCCTTAAAGGATCCTAAAAGTCATCATCTGAAAATTATGGCTCCTGAAAAAAATAAAATGCCTACTTTACCATATTGTTGCATGTCAGAGTGAGTTTCTCTCCCCCACAGAGTCATAGAGCCTGTAAATTGCCCATGGTAATGACCTCTACCTCCAAATGCAGTCACTGGTCTCTGCTCAGATAGACACTGTCTGTCACTTCTGGTGTTTCACTGTTGACGCTGTCTCTTTTAGCTTCTAGGCAGCTCTGTAATGATGCCGCAATTAGCAATACATCCTTCCCTCTTTTCCAACTCCAATAGCTCTAATTTATGTCCCTCGACAATACTCACACCAAGCTCGCCATCTGTACCACTGTGCATGGAAGGAAGTTCTCAGGTTCAAGGTCTCTGGCAGATAAACACAATTTCAAGTTCACAGACATCCTCAGCAGTCATCAACTACCCCACCAAGAAAGCAAGACCTTGGTATTGTTGGTGAGTAGCAGGTAATTGATGAGCTTGTCAGCATGATCCACGGTCCTTGATCTGTATCAATATGAAATAAGAAACCATTTAAGAGGTGTCAGGAAAACATGACAGGCCCCCCTCCTCCTCCTCTTACCATTTGACATTGACTCATTCACATATGAAATTGAGTCTTTGTGATGGTGAAATGTTAAAGACCCTGTGTAGTCAAATTACTATCATGGAACCAGCAAGTGGAAACAGGTTATTAAATGTCTCTGCTTCTTCCTCATTCAAACGGGTAGAAAAAAACAAACAGAAGGCTTAGATGCAAATGTGCATTCACGCCCAGGTGTTTGTGAGAACCGATATACGCCAGGAAAGGGAACGCTGGGTGGTGCCCCAGATAATTCAGGTTAAAAAGACTTTTATCATAAGATCAAAGACACCCAGGCACGGCTGGAAGATGCAGCCATAGTCCGTCCATCAGGTCTTCTTGTGAATGAGCCTCAAGTTTCTTGCTAACACAAGGACACGTTAAATGTCCCTATGACATTTGGTGGAAATGTTGAAGTATCACTGAAATTCCTTGAGCCAAGGTGCACCTCTTCAGGTATCGAGAGCTTTTCTGAGATCTGGCCAGACCATCTTCCCTTTCTGGGCCTCAGTTACCTCATTTATAATTGGCACAATCTTTTTAACATGAATTGGTGTTGCCCGATGAAGATAATGGAGACAGAAGTGTAAGAGAATTTGCTTTTGCAGATGTTCCTAGAAGGAAACCTTGATGGGCATCCCAAGTACATCCTGGAGAGAATGGATCCTTGATGTTATGAATGTATTGTGTAGGAATCATAGCCTCTAATGGAAGGTCAAACTTTCAGACTTGTCAAAAATTTCAAAAAGAGGACTCTGTGAAGTGTATATGGAATATTTATATGTCTTTTTGCAAGTACATCACTCATTCATTCACAAGGCATTTGGGTGTTCCACCTTAATTCACAGCTAGTTGGTTAATTGCTGGTGTAGACCCCCACATTCAGATAGCCTACTTCCTTGCAAGCAGAGCCCTGATTTTGCTCAGATGTTGGGAAGCAATGTGCTCTCTGACACTGGGGGATGGATTACCATTAGTCTGAGACAATAGTGGCAATCTCACTTAGTTTTAATGATTGGTTTGTGGGGGACATGTGAGTCAGGGCTAGTCAATGAGATGTAATTTGGGAGTCTTTTGGTGGGAGCTTCTGTGGTCTCTAACGTAAAGAAACCCATGGGGAGTAACTGTCTCCTTTCTATCATATTTATTCTGGTAATGGCTCTGAGTGGATGTCATGACAGGTGATAGCCACCTTGTCTCTATGAGAGCATTAAAGATGGCTGAGAGGGGCCATTTATGGCTGATCCCTCTTTTCTCCTCTGTCTTGAGGGACCAGGTTTGCTCTTCAGGAAGTCATCTCTTTCTCAACACCAGGGTGCATCACCTGGTCCTTTTGGTGGCTTCCAGGGAAGCCAGATCCCACACTCATATTTGTGGTTCCTTAACTGATTCCAGAATTGTTGGAGGATCCAGAATCTTGGGGCACTGGTCTCAGGCTGTGTGTGGTGTAAGGCCTGAAATCGAGGTGCAATAATAAGTATGGCCTTGACGTCTTTGAGCTTCACAGGGCTGCAGAGGCCTAATCCCTAGTTCCCTGCCCTCACCGATATGCCCACAGCTCAGTAGGAAAGGCTCCCACCTGGCAGGTTCCCTGTCAACTGGAGCAGCTGCCTTCCACCTGGTCCTCAGTTTAACTGCCTTCACCTCCCTGCCCACAGGAACCAGGGGCACCTCACCTCCTTGTTACTACAGGGTCTCTCTACCCCAGCCCCTCCTGTTCTCTCTGTTCCCAGGTGCACTCCTGTGCCTCTGCAGGGTGGGTGTTGTCCTCCCCTGTGGGCTGTATCTGTGACTGACCTGCTGCCCATCTCATCTGGCGAATGCTGGGTGTCCTGTGCTCGGCCATCTCATACTATTTAAGGTGGGGGATGCCTCCCTCACCAATGGGGTGAACAGGAAGAAACTGGAACACAGCAGAGTCTTATGGACCTGTACTGACTCAGTTCTTGCAGTGAAAGGCTGAGAAAATTCGAGGCAACATGTCACATGGTTGTGATACACATACAGTACGACTTGCATCTTTGTTTGCCAGCTTCCCGCTACTGGAAAATGTATGTCTTGACCAGGTGCAGTGGCTCACACCTGTACTCCAGTACTTTGGGAGGCTGATATAGGAGGCTATCTTGCGTCTAGGAGTTCAAGACTAGCCTGGGAAACATTGTAAAACCCCATCTCTACAAAAAAAATTAAAACATATTCTGGGCATGGTGGCATACACCTATATTCCCAGCTAATTGGGAGGCTGAGTTGGGAGGTTCACTTGAGCCCAAAAGGTCAAGGCTGCAATGAGCCAAGATTGCATCATTACACTCCAACCTGGGTGACAGAGTGAGACCCTGTCTCAAAAGACAAGAAAAGAAATGAAAAGAAAATGTATTTCTAAGGGCAGGACTTTGAGGCTTCATTTTCTACTGTTGCATCTCAAGCATTTGTAAATTCCTAGCACGTAGTAGGTCATCAATACCTATGGAATGAATAAATGAATGAAGCAATGCATTCATTAAACAACCTTGGCTGGTAAGAATGAAGATGTGATTCTTGAGGTTAGTTGCATTAGTTGGGATTCTCCAGAGAAAAAGGACACCTAGCATAATGTTTTACCAGCTATCTGGGGATCCTGTAGTCTAGTCAAGTTGACACATAAAATTAACCATAATACTACGTTTTGCAGGAAAAGTTGTCATTATTTCATTTCTTTTTTATGATCCTGAAGAAGGCAATGTGGAGGCAGAACCTTCAGGTCTTCAGTAAACTGCGGCTTCTAGCCATTCTGTTTCTCCCCAAAGTGGTGATGGAGTGGACAGGTAGATAGTGACAATCTTTCTCCTTCCTCCTCTCACTGTCCCTGCACTAACCCCAGCTTCCTCCCTCTGCTTTGGGAATAAACTTTCCCAGATGCTGCCTCGGACCCAACACTTGAGCCCATTCCATTGGTTCCACCACGTACAGTCAATGTTTCAGGGTAGGAACGAGTATGCAGTGTACCCGCCTGCTCTTCTCTGAGATTTGGGGTAGCCTTAAGGAAGTGGAAGCCTCTCTGCTGAGCACACTTCCCACGCTGGGCAGCAAATCCTTCCTTGAAGTGGGATCAGGGCAACACATCTTCACGTCCACCATGAACTGGAGATCATCTCCAGGAAGCTGAGGTCACACAGAGGCTGGACCTCCAAGAATACATCAGAACACTTTGCAGTCTGTTTCAGGTCTATAAAATGGAGAGAACACTGAGTTTCATTGATTCTAAGATGCACTTTGTCCCATGTTAATATCTCTCTAGTCTGGTTGTGTCACATAATTGATGGGATCTGATCGTGGGCCAGAATTTAATTGTCAATGTTTTTTCTTTCTGGGTGGTACATAGCACAATGATGCCTCATGCAGTCAATCTGGTCTTAGATGTGTGACCTGCAGGATCACCGCCACTGGCCAACCATCATGAAGGTCAGATGAAACAGCAGGGTGTGACAGGCCTTTGTGATTTATAAAATGCTCCACAGTCATTCATCCAGGCTCTACCCAGGGAGCATCCCTGGTCAGTGTTTCTCCTCCCCAGGTCTTGCATGCCTCATCCTTTCCCAACGGATGATGGACTGGACATGATGTTGGCATTTGCTCTGCTGAGTGATGGGGTGGAGGTGATGTCTCCAGAAACCCAGGACCTGGAAGCACTGCCAGGCCACCGTGAACAGAGTTCAGATGAAATGGACATAAAGCCCCTGGGTAAGATGGTCCCAGGGCCCCTTCCAGATCTGACATTCTAGGGCCTAGAAATGGTTTCTCCAAGGTCTCTAGGGAGGGAGGTTGGTGAGACTGGCACTGCACATCCCCAGGGCCACCACTGATACCTGGCCACAGGCTCACTGCCCTGGGAGGTCTGCAGTGAGGGATCCATGTCCTCATAGCTGCCAGCCTCTGCATGGCTGGTCATGGTGGAGGGGGGGAAATGAAGAGGCTCTGCTCAGCAGGAGGCCTGACTGTCTTAAGGCAGGGGGCTGCTGCAGAGAAGACGGAAATCTCACAGACGCCATGTCTGAGAAATGTTGGCAGTGAGATGCGTATGTGCTGCCCGTGTCTGCACAGGGCAAATGCAGCAAGTGCCGTGTCCTGACCTAGTCTTGCAGGACATCTAAAGGATGGGCTGGCTGCAGGGTAATGGGAAGCCCAGCTGGGCACCTGGAGGCAGCTGTGTCCATAAGACTCAGTCTTCTGAGCTCTGGGCATCCAGCACAGTGCTGGAGCCACCATGGGGACCAAACCTGTGCAGATGACCTGACTGGAGGCATCTGTACCCATCAGCCTTAACTGCTAGCTTGCCACTCTCAGAAACTGTAGCTTTCAAATTTTCTGAATAAAAAATCACTTTTATCATAAAAGACATAAATATTCATTTTAAAAGCAAATAATCCTGAGCACTGCATTGCCACATACCAACTGGAGTTTAGATCCTAAGAAGTAGGCCAGGCGTGGTGGCTCATAACTGTAATCCCAGCACTTTGGGAGGCCAAGGCGGGCAGATCATGAGGTCAAGAGATCGAGACCATCCTGGTCAACATGGTGAAATCCCATCTCTACTAAAAATACAAAAATTAGCTGGGAGTGGTTGTGTGTGCCTGTAGTCCCAGCTACTTGGAAGGCTAAGGCAGGAGAATTGCTTGAACCCAGGTTGTGGTGAGCCGAGATTGCGCCATTGCATTCCAGCCTGGGCAACGAGTGAAACTCTGTCTCAAAAAAAAGAAGTGGCAGCATGGACTTGCTGTCTTATATCGAGATCCATCATGCATTTCTGCCCACACCTGCTGTAGGGAGAGCTGGGCCGTGAGTCTGACATTCAAGGCTCCCTGTGGTCCCAGCCTGAGTGACACATAGGGGGACAGTGATCATTCTGGTTGCCATGATACACTTTTCCTCCATGATGCTGCCCGGCTTCCTTTTGGGAATCACCCTCCCAGGTGGGATGGTTGCTGGGGGGATTCCTGGTGGTGCCTCCCCAGGGAAGCTGAGGGTGCTGCTCAGCTTCTCCCACATGAGTTTCCTGAGGAGACGAGGAAAGGGTCTTTTGTCTTAGGGGTAATGTCCTGACCCTCTGGACCCAGGTGGGAGATGCTATCTCTTGGCCCCACAGATTCTGTGGTTTCCCCTGTTCCTCCTTGTCTACTCTTGGAGGCTGGAGACCACTGATTGTGAGGCCCATTCTGCTGATGCCCTCCAGTTGCATCCCTTTTGCTCAGGGCCGAGACACTCAACAGTCCTGGGGCCCATCTGGGTGTCCAGGTAAGGACATCCCTGGATTCCCCACACTTCTTCTGTTAGAAGAAGGAAGACCCTTCCTGTGCTAACTTTTATAGGATCCCTCCTTTGAATCTCTGGAGTCCTGAATCAGGGGTGTAAAAAGTCAATGGCCTTTTAAGAAGTGGTCTCCTTTGGGACATGCTCAGGGGACAGAGGAGCTTTTGCTTTCACAGTGAGAGTCTTTCTCCTTTCATGATAAAAATTGATTCATAATATTCACCAGAGCCATTAATTTTAGTTTTGTGGAAAGAGCAGTGCCCAGACCAATCTTCAGGAGGATTGCTCTTCCAGCAGCCAATCAAACTGTAATGCAGTTTGAGGACGCGTTTTCAGAAGCAGTATGCCTGGCCAACTTTAAATAATGTAAGCATTAAAAAATGTGAGTTTATTTTCCTACTTCCCTCCCTTCTCCCAGTGAATTGAAGAACTTGTAAGAAGCCTTCTGGGATGACTTCTACGATTGAGACTTCATCTTTGTATAGAAATAGTGCAAGTGAGCCCAGAAACTCCAAACCAGACTGAGCCATGATTTTCTTTGTCTTCATTTTAGTCAGGACTCTGGGTATTAGGTGAAGAAGCTAAATTCAAATTGGCTTAAACTAACACACAAACAGAAAATGAAGAAGAATGTAAGGACTCATATACTAAAGAGTTCAGAGGCAACTGCCTTCAGGTACTGCGGTATTTGGGTGCTCTGAGGACACTCACTGTCTCTGCATCTCTCCAGGCTTGTTTGCTTAGACTTTGATGTGGTTTGACTGTGTCCCCTCCCAAATATCATCTCGAATTATGATCCAAATTGCAATCCCCACATGTCAAGGGCCAGGTGGGAGGTGACTGGATCATGGGGGTGGGTTTCCCATGCTGTTCTTGTGACAGTGAGGGAGTTCTCATGAGATCTGGTTGTCTGACAAGTGTCTGGGTCTTCCTGCTTCTTGCTCTCTCTCTCTTCTGCTGCCATGTAACACATGCCTTGCTTCCCCTTCCTCCAAGACTGTAAATTCCTGGGGCGTCTCCAGCCATGTAGAACTGGGAGTCAATTAAGCCTCTTTTGTTTTGTAGATTACTCAGTCTCAGGTACTATCTTCATTGCAGTGTGAGAATGGACTAATGAACAGTTGCTGGTGTATTAGGAGGCTGGCTCTCTCCTCTGATGTGATGTCTCCAGGAGCCCCACTTCCTTTGCCCAGCTTCCCTATCCCAGTGGAAAGAAACCTCCTTTGCTGTTTACACAACAGCCCTTGGATCGGGTTTCATTTGAAGGGTGATTCTCATGTGATTCTCCCTGAGCCAACTGCCACAGCCAAGGAGAAGCCCTGCACTGAGAGAACAGGGCTGGGTCCACCTTACCCATGGACAGAGCTGTCAGGACTCAGAAGCAGCAGCAGGTGCTGGGTGGGTAAACCAGGGGGGTCCTCCAACTCCTGTCAGTCTCTCCTCCTGCTCATGGGGCACAGCCTGTGGTGCCCCTCTCTGTCCTGGAGGACTCAGCACTGGAGCTCCCTGCTCACTGGGGACCATGTGGCTGGAGCACAGGATACCTATTTACTGGGAATATTTTTTCCCAACAGCCCCATTGCTTCATTTTTAGACACCACACTTAATTCACGTACAAATCTGAAATCACATTGAATGGGAATGTGAGTGTAAGGCCAGTTGCCTCGCCCGGAGCTCGGACATGCCCATCCCTCTCCCCGCCTGAAAATTACATCACCAGAATAAGACCATCAGCTAGCTCTGCCTTGGAAATCCCCTCTGCACTCAGCACTAAGCTCTCCACCGGACACCTAGCCTGCTCACCGGAAATCCCGTCTACCTACCAATAGCAGCTTGCCACGTTCACATCCTGTTTCTCCACAGCCAATCAGAATGCCTTCCCTCCCTATAAAACCCCCCAGGCCTGAGCGAAGTCGGGCGTGACTTCTCTGGCTTCTTTCCGTGGGTTCATATAACTTCGCCTGGGAGCCGAATAAATTGGCATCTGATTGTTCTCATGCAGGCCTCAGTTTCCTCCTTTTAAACGGCAATAAACCTCACAAGACAATAACCCTTACAGTGAGTTTTCTGAGTTCACTGAAATGGACCTGGGTTAGCAGCAGTGGTGAGGGGGCCCGGTCTTGCAGGAGTGAAGGTGAAGGTGACTGTGAACTCAGCTCCCCTCCTGTGGCGTCTCAGGAAGATCATTTCTCGGACCCCACAGTTGAAGAAGAGCAATAAAGAACCAAATCTCCTTTGAAAGGCATTTGACAACATTTAAACTCCATCAGGCAGCCGAAGGAACATTTTCAATAAAAATTCATCTTGAGCTAAAGTTTCTGCCTTATTGAATTCATCTTTTCTGGAGTGGGTGGTTGTCCCTGCCCCTGATACTTGTGACCCTGGATGGCAGGACCTGTGTTCACTGTGAAACAAACTTTCCTCCGAGGGTCGCAAAGACCCCGCGTGTGACTTGCCCGAGTTGGGGGGGGTCTCTCACCTGTGAGTCCTCCCAGCAGGGGCCCTGTCCTTCCCCCAGGCTGTTTCCCTTGAGGTCTGAGCTGCCCAGTGATACGTCATCCCTTGCTGCAAGATAAAAAGGAGGAGGGAGCCCCCACCCCCATGCAGGGCCCTAGAGGGTGTGCGCAGCTTCAACCATCTGATCAAAGATAGGTTCCACTCCCTGCTCAGGGCAGTAGCTCATGGTTCATTCAGCCCCAATGGTTCCCAGTGGGGCAACATAAGGGACACAGAGAACTGAGGTTTGGGTCTGATGGGATTAAACCCCCAACTGGTGTCCCTGTGTCTTCTCTTTCCTGACACCAGACAGCAAAAAGAAACAGCCCCAGATGCACCCATTGGTGAATTCCAAGGGTGAGCTTGGGGCCAGGTGGCCTTTGAAGGCTCCACGTGGCTTTTGAGCTTTTGCTTTCTGCAGCAGTGAACCCAGTGCTCTGGGCTGGGAATTGGTGCTTGCTAAATGCACAGGTGGTTTGGAGTGATGTTTTCCTTCTTTAGCAAAGTAACACATGCTCCTTACAGAGAGTCAGACATGCAAAGAGGCAGGCATGTTTTTTTAAGGGTAAGTTAAACATTCAACAGGTCCACAGGGACTGAGTGGAAGGTCTCCCCGCAGCTCAGCCCTTCAGCCTCCCAGTGTCTTCTTGGTGGGGCCAGTGCAGGGCCCCTAGTTGGAGGCCGGTGGGTGGGAGGCTATCTAAAGACCCCAGGAAGTGATTGGAGGGTCCCAGTCCATTTTGACTCCTGCGCCCGGGAGTCACTGGCTTGGACCAGCCTTCTAGAGGCCCCCAGTGAGAAGGGGACAAACCAGGCTGTGACCCCAGCCATTTTCTCCGATGAGATTATCATTCCTTTGCTGCACCCTTTCTTTCTGGTGCATCCACAGAGTGCAGAGCCGTCCTTGCAAGCTGGAAGTTCCTGCTCCCTGGGACTGATCTGGGAAAAACCTGACTGTGCTGATGGGAGGTCTGTACTTTCCCCTCCAAACAGAACCCTAGTGACTGCTGCTCTTTGATTACAGAAATGACAGGCTCCTTGCCAGAGACGACACAACAGAGAAAGTGAATAAAGATGGAAACAAGAATAAGAACCATTCCCCTTCCCAACCCCACATGGGGCTACATTTTAAATAAACGAACTCCTTGATTGCACCCATTGGGAAAATCTGACTTCCTATAACTGAGCCTTCTTTCTCTTAACAAGTTTTCAATGTTAATGAGAGAAGCTACCCTGGCCTGAGCCTTTAAGTCAAAGTGTCTGAGCGCAGCTGGGGATGGGTAACACGGACCTGATTATCATGGTCCTGACTGTAGATTTCAGCCCTGTTCGGCACAGGTGGGTCGTCACTGTGTCATCTGTAGCTGGTATACAGAAGGTCTGAACTGGAAACAAGCAGGAAACAGCTTCATTTTTCTCTAGCAGCTGCCTTCCAGCAGCTTCTGTGAGGCAGGGCTGGGTTAGGGTGAGTGAGTGAGGCTCAAATTGTACAAGTGCTGCCTTGGATCCTGTCCCCTTTCCTCCTCCTCCTCCTAGTCTTCCTCCTCCTCCTCCTTATCCTCCTCCCCCTCCTTCTCCTTCTCCCCCTCCCCCTCCTCTCCATCCTCCTCCTCCTCCCTCCTTCTCCTCCCCATCCCTCCTCCCCCACCTCCTCCATCTTCCTCCTCTTCCTCCTTCTCTTCCTCCTCCTCCCTCCTCCTCTTCCTTCTTCCTCCTCCTCCTTCTTCCTCATAAAGGAGGTCTTTAAATTTTTAATATTTTGTTTGTCACAGATTTTTTGCACAAAGTTTGAGTTTTAAAAAGTACAGTTACAATGTTATTTATCATGATTATTGAATTTTTTGGTGCCAATTTAGATTTTACACCTGAGGTGAGTGTCTCCCTTGCCTCACACTAATAACTGTCCTATTGTTAGGTCTCAGGCCCCTGCTCTGGATGACATTTCGGAACGATCCCTTGGGTTTTTTTGTTCACTTTTATTTACAAGAACGAGCTCATCAATCATTATCACTGTCATCCAGGTTCTAAAAGTTTAGGCTGGTCCAAATCTAAATTTTAATCTCACATTTAATTCCCAGCTTTTCCTCTCCCTCTATTCTAAGAAAGAGTAAGGCTTGGGGTCCCCTTCTCCACTGTTCCTTCTGGTGAGTCCAGGGCTGGGACAGGTACAGGAGGAACATCGTACAGGAGAGTCTTTTCCTTTTGGTTGCCATCAATGACTGATGTGTAACAGGTGAACCAATGCTAGTGCTCTTATGTGGTGCATTTCATTTCTTCATTTATTCATCTGGTCTTTTTTCCCCACCACCCCAGCATAGGGAGGCAGCTCGAGGCTTCTCTGTCCTCCACAGGGACTGTCATTTCACTAAACCTGTAGATAGCATGACAAAGGGAATTCCACTCAGGTAAAGTGGCTTAATATACAAGCACATGCAAAATGCTGCAAAGGAAACATTTGGGGGAGCATAGAGTTTCATCCTGGGTCGGTGGATAGGAGCTTGGGGCATGGGGTTTGGGAATGTAGGGAAAGTCTATCGAAGGAAAGCAGGAATTAGCCAGGTAGCTGCAGGTGTTGGGAAGGCAAGAATGTTTCAGCAAAGGGAACAGCATGTGCAAAGGACTGGATGATGCCATGAGGAGGATGCCATGCCTTCTTGGGACTAAGGAACATCCCACAGGCTGGAGCTGAGTGGGGCAAGAACTGGATGGAAGCTCTGTGAAGCACAGCAAGTGCCAACTGAGGTGCTGAGTTGGGCTGAGCCTGCTCAGTTTGAGGAACTGTGATAAGGCCAGAGGTAGCAGAGAGGGCAGGGCGGCCAGATGCTGCTGGGAATGTAAGCTGGTGAAGAATCAGGCCATCCTAGAGTGAAGGGATGGTATTAAAGGACTTTAGGGAGGGGAGTAACATTTGGGGATTATGCATATCTCGGGCTTCTCAGTAACGTGAACTCACTGGTTGAATGTTAATCAGTCATTTGCATGTGTGGAGACAATTGGAACTGTTTCTACTGCCGTGTGATCAAATCATGTAAAATCTGATTTTCACAAAGGTTATTCAAGATGATAGGTTTATTTCTGAGATTTGTGATAATTAAGCGCTTTCAGGTTGGCAGAGAGCAGACAGGTTACTGAAGTCACATGAAGATGTTAGAAATATCAATTTAAAATGAAACCACCAATTTTTACACTTTCCAAAGTAATTTGACTGCTCTATATCTTTCTCAAACATGAATAGAGGATGACGATAAATACTTTGAATGTTTCTTTCCTTAACATCAGAAATTTTATTGAAAAATTAAAAATATCAGTTTTTAAAGAACCTGTATATTTTATGAAGGATCCTATGTTTTGCAGAAATTGCTAGAGAATATTATGCTTTTCACCCGGTAGCAATTGGCAACTTTAAATTCGTTTTTTCCTTCTGATTTTAAAAGACCCAATCCTTCTTGAAAGTTGGAAAACATACCAACAGCTATGAAAAAGAAAATGAAAACCATCTTTAATGTTACCACTGATATGTTACTACCAGTGGTATCTTGATTCGTCTCTTATTTAACTGTTTCCTCTGAGTGTGTGTGTGTGTGTGATAAGAGTGTAGAATTCACATTTTTGCATCTGTTTTTTTCACTTCACATGAAATCATGAGCACTTTCCATACTATTGAAAATTTCAGGTAGGCTGAGTGTGGTGGCTCATGCCTGTAATCCCAACACTTTGGGAGGCCGAGGAGGGCAGATCACCTGAGGTCAGGAGTTCGAGACGTGACTGACCAACATGGAAAACCCTGTCTCTATTAAAATCAGCCGAGCATGGTGGTGCATGCCTGTTATCCCAGCTACTTGGGAGGCTGAGGCAGGAGAATCACTTGAACATGGGAAGTGGAGGTTGCGGTGAGCCAAGATTGTGCCTTTACACTCCAGCCTGGGCAACAAGAGTAGGACTCCATCTCAAAAAGAAAAGAAAAGAAAAGAAAAGAAAATTTCAGGTAAGTATATGAGAAAATCATCCTTCAATATTTCCTTGTCTGGAAAATCCATGTGCTCCTCTCCATTCCTGTATTGTTGGACATTTGTACTGTTTCCAATTTTTGCTGTTGTAATTCATGTGGCAATGAACATATTACTACAAAATCTTGGTTTGCATTTATGAACAGCTCCTTAAGATAACATCTTATGTGTATGATAACTGCATCTGGGATTAAGTGCTTTAAAATTTAAGCTCTCGATACATCCAGCAAATAGCTTTTGGAGACATTGGGCCTCACAGCCTCCCA